GTCGACTGTGGCAAAGAGGATGGAGCGGCATCGGCAGGCTTCTTGTACTTGGCACAGGCAGTGCACACGTAGGATTGCGCTGCCTTCAGGATCTGCGGACGCTCCTCGCGTCTGTAGCAGCTCGGTGAGCTCCTTTGGAGAAGGATGGCCAAGGTTCCTGTGAAGTCGCTGCACGATGCGAATGGCTTGCTGCCGAGTGTCAGCCCGAAGTTGAACCAGGGTCGATGCAACTTCACGTTGCTCTGTGGAAGCATAGCTAGCCTCCCAAAGCTGTGGTGGTTCATCAAGTGAGATGGCCGCAGCAAGCGTGGAAGCCAAAGCCGGCTGGTAGTCCTCCATGTAGCGGGTCCGGGACCCATAGCCACGAGCACTGCCTTCCAAGGCACAATGATCGTGCCCAATAGACCAGGTTAGACAAAAAAATTGTCTAATAGACAACTTTCTTAAAATTTGTCTTTTAGATAAATTTTTGTGATTTGTCTTAGACAACTTTATGTGACGAAAAGTTATCTAATAGACAAAACAAAAGTTGTCTAATAGATAAAAATCTGCTGTCTTAGACAAATTTTCGCGGCTGCAAACGAGGAAAGGAAATTTCCTCGAAACTACCTCGTCTGTTTTTCAAAACTTCCTTCAAACTTCATTTCTTTTTGTGGCAGTTTGGAGGTAGTTTGATGGAAGTTTGTAGGCAGTTTCAACCTGCAAGTGTGGAAGTTTGTCATGCACATGGACTGAAACTGCAATAATATGCAAATTTTGTAACATAAACTTCCTCATGCCTATGATGAAACTGCAAGTAAACTTCCTCAGTGCCTGTGGTCGTTTTGAGGAAGTTTTGATTTGTCTGAGACAAAAAATTGTCTCAGACACAGCCAAAAATAGTCTAAGACTGTTTCTTCAAAATAGACTTAGACAGGACAAATTTTGAAAAGTCGTCTTAGCCAAAAATCATGTTGTCTTAGGCAACAAAAAAGTTATCTAATAGACAATTTTTTACAAAATAGATCTTAGTAGTCTAACCTGGTCTATTGGGTGATCTCCTTGACAAGTGAGGGTCATGGCATTCTGAAGGGCCTTCTTGGAGGTGAGAAGTGTGGCGCTCTTCTTCGCGGGCCGCCATTGCTGATCCTCATCGAGGCAAGCTGCTCCATAGCGGCATTGCTCGAAGTCGGCCCGATGTCCAGGCAGGTCACGAAGGGCACGAGTACGCCATGACAAGGCGTGCTTGGGTTGCTCGATGTGTCCATGACGGCCACCTGAGAGCTGGTTCATGTAGACCTTGCGAACAAAGACCAAGTGCCGATCATGATGGTGTTGCCTTGCAGCAACCAGAGCCTCTTGCTGATGTGCAGTGCGGCGAGCGAGGGTCTGCATCCGACTCCAAAGTTTGCACTCAGGTGCCAGGAGAACTTCGTCAGGTAGTTCCTCCTCTTGAAGGCGAAGGAACGCTTCTTGGTGGTCAATCAGGTCGAAGTTCCATCCCGTCTCCAGTCCAAAACGACGCACAGTCATTCCCAGAGATTCTGCCACCTGTGAGGTCCGTGCAGAGCCACAGTAGACCTCCCATAGGACTCGCTTTTGGTCTGCGTTCCGGCCATGAAGTTGGCTGGTCAGGTACGCGGACATGTCGTTCAGATGGGTCCGGAGTTGGGTGTCCATGGTCTGCAAGGAATGTTGCCTCAGGGTGTTTGACAGCTGCTCATCCTTGATCTCCTCCTCCTTCATAGTTGACAAAGCAGCAAAGCCATGTTCAGACCGTTCGAAGTCTTCCAGCTTGTACCCATCACATTGCTCCATGTCAGCCTCAGCGGTCTTCAGACAGAAGTCCGGCTGTCCAGGGTCATACTGGATGAAATCATGGTCGGCCGTCAGCGAGAGGAGATATTCGCCTTGTCGACCGAGTGTGGCTTCTTGCCATCCTGAGGAGCCGATGCAAATGCGGCGCATGGCGAAGTCCATGGTCATGCCGAGGGCCTCGATGATGGGTCGGCCACAAAGCATCGGAGTATTGCCAGGCAACAGGAACATCTGGATTGCGCCGTAGCGGCCATCGAGAAACACGGGAAGGTGAACTGACCAGGACGACCAAGATGCAGCATCGCCTCCAAACTGGAAACGGCGTTTCCCTTTTGTCAGCTCAATGTTCTCGATGGGGAAGCCGCAGTCTTGCCGAAGATGCTGTAGGTACCGTCGGAAAGGTCCATATCCTGCCAGGAAGGCAGATGCACCAGGGTCCAACATCACGCACTCAGGACGTTCGGCGCCATTGTGATCTTGGAAGATGATCATGGCATCCTCGGACGTCATCACTTGTGCCACGCTCTCCGTGGGTGCCGGCCTCTTGGTGCCACTGGACTTCGGCGATGAGCTCTGAGGGCAGTTTGCCGCCCAGTGTCCTTGCTGGCCACAACGAAGACAAGTCATATTGGCTCGAGCACGACCCTTCGGGTCACTTTACCTCCAGTGGAAGGTGGTGTTGCTCTTGTTCTGGCCTTTCGACTTGCCCCCTTTTCCTTTTCCTTTTCGCGACCAGGAAGAGGGACTTGATGTCATAGAAGAGGATGCTGCTCCTGTAGCCAGAGGGGCTTGTTGGTCAGCAAGGGCGACAACTGCAGGAAGGAAGCCACGAGACATCTTGAGGTCGTTGAAGCGCTTGCGAGCATCGGTGTAACTGGCATAGGCCGAGTCAAACTCCTCGGCCAGCTGTTCGGGGCTGTTGGTCTCGTTGGAGCTCTCAGGCCAAGGTTCATCACCAAAGTAGCCAGCCTCATCGTCGAAGGCGAGGTCGTCCTCATAGTACTCATCTTGCCCCCAATCATCATCTTCATAGTAACCTGTCTCTTCCTCGCCCCAACCATCATCATGAATCATAACCTTCATCCCAGTCATCCTGTGCAGCATAGGCGCGATTGGACCATCGTTGGAAGCGCTTGTTTCTCTCATGGTTCCAACCACCAGACTTGTAGTCCTGGCCGGGGATCAAATAGAGAGCCTCAATCACCTGCTGCTTGTCCAAAGTCGGGGCCTTCAGCATGATGAGCTGTCGCTGCTCCTTCGTCAGTGCACTGCGGCGAAGGAGATGCCAGCCTTGGACACTGTCAGGAAGTGCGACCTTGTGTTGAAGCAACCGGCGATATGTTTCTTCGTGGTCGTTGACAAAGGTCAGGAGAGTCTGCCCAGGTGCTCTCTGAAGCAAGTTGAAGCAATTCTCGAAGTCATTGGGCAGTTGAACTCTCTGATCATAGGCGAAGTTGCCGTCCAGGATCTCCAGAACCTTCTCGAACGAGTCATCTCGCTCGAGCTTCTCGAGGCTCCAGTCTTCGAAGAGCCGCCAAACCACGCCACGGAAGGAGCCAACTATGTTCAACACGCTCTCTCCTGCACGCTTGGAGAGAGCTGTCTTGCGGTGGTAGATCTGGATTCGTTGACGCCATTCACGATAGTCGGCAGGTTGGCCTGAGAAGACAGGGACGTATGAATCCCTGAGGTCCATGAAGCCGGAGTCCTCCTTGGATGTAGCCATCGAGCTGGAGCCGGGTTGGGTGGTCTGTGGCTTCTTTTGCTGCTGTCTTCTTTGATGCGACGTCCACCAGGGTGGTGAATGCCACAAGGATCCTCCCCGTAGGGTTTTCCACCAGGTGCTCAACCAACAGGACCCAGAAGATGTCGGCAGTGAGTGGCCACCGAAGACCTTGTCCCCAGCGTGCTGCTCGAGGAAGCGAAGCGCGCAGACGGAGCCCTCACCCTGGATGGGATCGGGCTCCGCTACCAATGCGAAGAAACCAGTGGTAGTCGAAGCCCACAGGTTCAGGGTGAACAAACACCACGAGCGAATTGAAGGCACGGGGATGTGCCGCGGCCGCATAGCCTTTTGGCTTCTTGAGCCCTCCCTTCTCGGAGAGGTGCGATCTGAGGTCGGAACGTGTTCCTATCAAATGCACAGCGTGCGTTTCACACACCCATTGAAGAGTGACATTCGACCTTACTGCAATGGCAAACCTGCCAAACTCTCAACCATGTGTAGTGAATTGGACTCTGTTCTTGAGCTGCGTCTCTTCCCCCTCAAAGGAGGTGTCAAGAGTGGAGGGAAAGGCAAGAGGAATGATGAAGTCGTCGACAAGTTGGCAGATGTGCTTGTAGCAAGAGGGGTTGCGCCTCTTGTCGTACATGATCGTGTCCAGAAGGTTTTTGACGCTGTTGGAAAAGAATGGATTGCAAAGCACATTTCCATGGAGAATTTCTGGGTTGAGCTGAAGCAAATTTGTACTGAAAAGCAGGTTCGTTTGGTTTTTCCGTCAGAGCTGAGATCCTTTCAGATGGCAAAAAAAGGGCGAAGATTCGCTGGACGGTTCTCGCCCTGCTCGCTCCAAGCCATTTAAGGGACTTAACCCTGATGATCTTGTCTTTCCAGCCGATGATTTTCGCACTGCGGATGGAATGCCTGTTCAGCGGATTTTACCGGCAAGTTTTCAAGCAGACCGTACCGGTTACTGTCTCATGTCCCCAGATCAGGCCAAGCTATACCTACCGCCTAGATGCATGTCACCAGATGGATTGGCCATTGTGACAACAAGTGTAGTGGTCAATGACCCAGAATGTATTTACCAGTTCTCTGCCATGAACAAAGCTGGCGAGGCGTTGCTAGTTCGGGGAAACATCTTCCAATTTGGTGAGCTTGAAGTTCAATACGCACCACAGTGTCCAAACGCCGAGGTAAAGGAAATCGAGTCCTCTGTCATTGAGTTGATTGTGCACCGTGACAGTCAGTTTTGGGGTGCTGCCATGACTGACCCTTTTTTCTGCCCTGACTCAAGTCAATCCAGATTTGGCCAAGCACGATGTTTTCCTTGCCAAGTGGAAGTTCCGCGTGTACACAGCTGATCGTCAGGTTGTCCAGGGCGATTCTCAATCAGCCCAGCATATACATGGATATGCGCGTGTGAACAATGATGCTTTGGATGCTGTCCTTTCGATTTCTGGATGTCACAACATGTTCATACATGTTCATCAACACCAAAGTTGAGGGCGGCAAGGACTTTCGTTACACCATCTTGCCACTTGCCAAGTGCACTCTCCAAGATGCACGCGCGATTGCACAAAAGGACAGTAAAGTGGTTGGGGTCGTTAAACTTAAGTATGGTTTTGCCATCCGTTGCCGCTGGGAGCACTTCCGTCGGGTCCAACGTCAGATCAACCCCAACTCTGTGAATTCCGACTCTGACTCCGAAGAGATTCAGGTTGGAAAGTTCTCCAAGCCCTTTCGCTTGGAAAATGTCCAAACCAAGACAACGCGCAGTCAGCTTACACAGGCCTTGTTGCAAGTAGGGTGGAAGGCGCATGTCATCCGCGCATTGGGCCCATCTTCCTGGGCTGTTGTCGCCGACCAAGATCCTCCAGTCAACCATTTGACACTCAACGGATACTTGGCTGTTATCCGTGCCGATTTCAAAGGTCCGAAGATTGCAAAGCCTGTCATCACGTCGCCAATGGTCCTCAGCGCACCTGCGCCAGCCACAGCTGGTCCTGTGCAGTCCAAGTTGGAACAGTTTGAGTCCCAGATTGAGCAAAGAATCTCCAGGATTGTCGCAGAGAAGCTTGATGAACTCCAGACTCAGCTTCAGGACAAGGTAGGAACCATTGAATCCAATGTCGCAGCATTGCAGAAAGATGCAAATCTGAACGAGCAGCGTTACAATGCATTGCACCAGCAAGTGTCTTCTGTTGAGAGGACACAACAGACAAGCTTCAATGGCTTGATGTCGGCAATTCAGGCATTGACTGAGAAAGTTGATGACATGAATGATACCAAGCGCGCCAAGCTTGGTTGACTCAAGGGGCAGAGGCATTCATCCAGGCAGATCCCTCTTGCCCTGGAATCCGCCTGGTTGATTTTTAGCATTCTTTTGACTTTGTCTTTCGCTAGAGTGCTACGTACATTACACGCAAGCTTGAAAGTAAGTCATAATTTGCTTTTCACAGAGGAACGGGAGTTGTTTTTGTGCAACATACTGGCATCACTCAGTGATGTCTCCAATGCGCTGCAGAGACAACATGCGTTGTTCGTCCTTTGTCAGTTGGTCACGCTCAGGGAATAGCACTACTCGATCGGTGCTTTTGTGGAACTCATGAATTGCACGCTCACAGTAGCAACTTGTCCGCCTTCTTTTGTCGCAGTTTACGGTGCTTTTGTCATGTTGCTTTTTGCTGAATACTGGTGTGCTGCTCCATCTCTCTCATTGCCCGGAGGGCGCTGCAAGCCATGTAGAGTGGTTGGAGGTTCACGCCACAAATTACTCAGAAAGAAGCAGGCCACATCCTATGGCTTTTTCGACATAGTTCTTTACACAATGCATGTCACCTGGTGGAACAGCTTTGACTCCGTCACTGCTGTACTCGTGTCAGGTTCCCACTGCCTTCGGAAAGCCAAGCCGCCGAAGGACTCAATCTTCAAAGGTGTTCGTCACTTCTGGGCCATTGTGCAACTCCTGTGGTGGATTGCTTTTGATTTGGCCGCTGAAAGGAAAATGCGTTACACTCGCAGCTCGGGGTTGTTTGCAATCATTCGTGATTGCGTTGAATTTCAGCCAGGGGGAGTTTCGATGCTTCCAAGCTTGCAGAGGCTTTAAACAATTGAGGTTTTGGTTGACCTTTCTCAACCAGCAGTACTATCTGTTTGTTGTGTCTTGACACTGGGACACATTTTCTCTTTGGTAACTTTTGCGTCACAGAGGTTTGGTGAAGCTAGGCACCCAGGACCTAGCAACACCTTCTCAGTGAGTGTTATCAACCCAACATCCATTTTGAACAAAGTCGATCTCTTCCATTCACTTGGCGGTGGTATTTGGGCCCTCTCTGAGACAAGTGCAATGCAGAGGGTCCAAGCCATTTGTAGGCGCCAATTTCAGAAAATCCATTGGTCATCAATTTTTGGGAAGCCTGTTCAACCCCATTCAAACGGCATCTCTGAGCTCAGGGGACGCGCTGGAGGGGTTGGTTTCTTGGCGCCCACCAAATCTTGGCACGGTGTGAATCGTGATGAACTCAATTTGTATGAATCCACTCGGTATGTCGTGGGTTTTACCGTTGTCAACCCTAACTTGGTCATTCAGGTCATTGTTCTTTATGGGCCCGTTCCCAACAGCTTTCTCTCTACGCACAATTTTATGGAATCATTGCTTGATCAAGCCTATTCGGATGCCAGAAAGTTTAAAGGGCCCACAATAATAGCTGGTGACATTAATTGTGATGTCACTTCATTGCAGGCCTGGACAAAACTCCAAAGCGATGGCTTTTGGGATGCCGCGTTAGAATTTGCTACCATGAATGGCTTTGTACCCCAACCAACGTGTAGGGATGCCACGAGATTCATGTACCTCCTAGTTTCCCGGCATTTAAGACCCTTTTTGGAGTGGTGTGACTGCTTGGAGGATTTCTATTCAGTGACCATCCGGTCTTGAAAGCTTCTTTCAGGATCAGTCCTGGAAGTCTACAAACAACCCAACTTTTTTACCCCAAGTCCTTTGACGATGCTTTTTTTCGACTCCGATCTGATCGCTTCGTGCCAGGAAGGTATACTTGACCAAAGAAAACAGGAAATTTATAATTCGATCGAAAGTGAAAACCTGGACCTCGCTGTCAAAAGCTGGTCTCAGGCTTGTGAACAGCTTTTTCAAAGCACCGCGGTTGACGCGACCGGGTTGCTGTCTTGTAAGGGTAAGGCTTTTCTAGGAAGGGGTTCGCACAGGCACACCAAGACCTCAACCATGTCGGCCCCTTTTTGTAAACCTGGTCGACAGGGCGATTTTCAGCCTAAAGTAGGAATTGTCAGCGCGTCCAACTAAGACAACTTCTTAGGCAAGCGAGACGCCTGACTAGCCTTTTCCACTTGACAAGAAAACTCCAACAAGACTTGAGCATACAACGACGTAGTTGTTTAACGCGTGAAATCACATCTCTTTGGAAAGCAAGTATGCAATCCACTGGTTTCCCTCAGTCTTTTCAAACCTTCTTGTTCGAAAAGGGTGCGTTATATGTGCCTGTGGACTTGCCCAATGACGATTTTGTAAATGATGCCTTACATTGGACGCTTGAATTTTTTGACAATCTTGAAAGGCAGCGCATGGCTAAGCTGCGCAGAAAGCAAAGAGAAACCATGGATGGTGATTCAAAAAGAGGTGGACGCCTTGTTTTTTCAATCCCTAAAGGAAGACACCGGTTCGCTTCCACCTGTCTTTCACCAGAAGTTGTCGTTTGAGATTTTACCGGTTCGTTGTTCTTTGGAAGGACACAGAGTCATCAAATTATGCGACGCCGCAGGTTTAAAAGATGATTTGCCTATCCATTACGCGCAACAAACCGTTCACATAAGCAAAATCCCAGACAACGTTGTTACTCTTGATTCCCCACTGTTTTTCAAAGCCAGTGTTTTGACCTCTTTTCAAGTTCATGTAGTTCTTGACGATGCGAATCGCGCGCAACAA